CGGTGGAAATGAGGTCAGAGATGTCAGGCCTTGTAGCCACAGAAAGGACTCAGCTGCAGCTCCGAGAGACAGGGAACCCCAGGCAGGGCATGGGACGGGCAGGTGGCCGAGACAGGAAGAGAGACAGGAGAGTGACGTGACAGTCCAGGTGGAAGGGGTGGCCCACCTCTGCTAAATGGCCCCCTAGGACAGCTCCCCTGCCTGGGTTCCGGCAGTGAGGGAAAGTCGTGTGGCAGCCAAGCTCAGGACAGTGAGAGGAAGATGCATGGAGCTACCTTCAGAGAGCCACTCCATGTGGGCCATGACCCTAGCGTCCCTACACCCTTCTTCCCAAGGAGACTCTTTGTAGGGAAACGTCCCTTTCCTGCTCTCAGTTTCTGCAGCTCTGGAGGTGTGTGCCTGTCCCACAGTGGCTGTGACCAGGATCCGGGCCAATCCCATCTGTGAATACACTACGTGGGCAACTGTGACAGTTCTGCACTGGGCAGATGACCTAAACCAGCCAATCAGAGCCAAGGAGACTTGATTCTGAGACACTCATTGTGCTACTGGGAAAACAGTCACCACCCCCCATGTGAACCAGGAAATTCACTGTGCTGGGGCAGAAACCCGGGTCAGGTGGAGGTCTGTCTACACAGCAGGCCCAAGACCTTGTGCTGTGCTCAGTGTCCCTGCCCCTGATGGGGGCAGTCCAGGGGAGGATGGAAGGCGTGCCCTGCCCCTAACTGCCCGCCTCTACTGCCCCTACCACCTCCAGCTCCGGTTAGGAGTGGGGAGGGCAGAAAGCTGGTGTCAGGGAAGAGGAAGATGAAAGGAAAAGAGCAGGGGCTCCCTACCACCTTGCCATGCCTGGGGTCTGACCATACCTGCAGCCCTCTCTACACACTGCCGGTGGCTCCAAGCTCTTATCTCAGTTCTGTGGAAGGTAAACTGAGGCCTGTGGGGGCTGGGACAGGTGCCCAGGAGGCCCCATTTCTGTGGCAAGCCTGGCCCTCCTGGCTGAGATGCACCTCCATGACGTGTGCCTAGATATACAGGGATGAGTTTCTCAAAAAGCAGGGGCTGGTTCCTCCCGCATGGTCACAGCCTCCCAAGACCCACCCTTTGTCATTAGGCTCCTGTACATGGATATTTATAGCAGC